ATTGGGTGTGGTGGCGTGCCCTGAGGTCCCAGCATTTGGGAAGCTGAAATCACTACAAGTCCGAACTACATAGTGAGACCCTGTAGACCCTGTACCAAATACATTTTTAAAAAAAATAATAAACCAAAAAAACCCTTTTTTGGTTGCTAAGCACAATCCTGTCTTCTAGATCTGATGCTGCTTTCCTTTGGTTGCTTGTACTTTCAATGTCCTGGATACCTGTTTGAATGGATTTCACCAATTCCATTTCTTTTCTGTGTTGGGCTTTTATGGTTCCATCACTTTCCTGAGCTCTCTCTCTCTTTTTTTTAATCCTAGGTTCATTAATAAATCTTTCATTTTGATCGCTTCTTTTTTTATTAAGAGATTATTTTCCCTATAGCCTATTTCATCTTTTTGTGTTTGTTTTCTTTTTTACTTATGCTGGTATCATTTCACAAAATTAAGTTGGATAAGCTATGAATTCCCTGATTGTCCTCTGGACTTGTCCTGGGTGGGCTGGAGGTCTTGAATTGTGTTTTGTTTCTGTGTCTTTTCGTTTTCTATTCTTTAATTTTTTTTTTTTTCTGTATTGATTCTTGTAAATTTCTTATGGTAGGTATCTTTATCACTAGAATCAAAGCTTCCCTATGAGATGTCTGTTTCTCAGAGATGTCTTCTAGATGTAGGTGGTTCTTGGTCTTCATGTCTGTCCCAAGATTCTAACTTCCCAATTTATTAAGGATGAGATGTTGCTATTATTTGGCTCAGCACCCAGTCCTTTGATACTGGAGTACGATGGTGATTATGACTCTAGACCATCATAGTGTTGCCATACAAGAGAAAAGAACTGATTATTACAGGTAGGACATCCTGGCTAAAGTAATACAGTTAGCAAGAACAGTAGCAAAAAAAGTCATAGCTTAAACACTGACAAACTGTGGTAACTATTAATTTGGTTTCTTTAACCACAGGAACAAGATTGAAGATTGCATAACCAGATGCAGCATAAATCAGAAACTTGTATACAAAGAGTTTCCCTTTAGTAGAGTGATTTTTATTTTTTGGTGGGGGCAATTTAAGAAGGAGGGGGGACAAAAGAGGGAGATAAATGAAGATAAATGTAGTAGAAGCAAGGCTGGATGACAAAAGATGATCACCCAGCCTTTGGGAAACTGAAGAAGAGTGCAAGAGAGAAAAAAAGAAGAAAGCGAAAGGTTTTTTTTTGAAGTGAAGCAGAAAGACTAGAGACAGTTGTTCATTCATATGAAAATATAATAAAATCAAGAGAGATAGTCAAGGAAACAGAGAAAGAAGAGAAATACAACAGGACAAAAATAAGTGTGAAAACCTAAACAACTTAAACCAAACAAACCCCAAAATAACCAGACAGAAAAAGCAAAGGAAAACAAAGAAAAAATGATGAAATTCTTCGGTGTCCATAGTTCTCTGGGTAGTGTTGAAATTGGCCCAAAACTGTTCTGTCACCCTGCTAAGTCTGCAGTAAGATTAGTGCTGTACACAAGGCTGTCATGGCCTCTGTATGGGGGCTGGGGTTGGTCTTCGGCTAGCAGCTCTCTGTATGTCCCTGCCCACATCTCCTTACCCTGATTGTCTCTACATCGCTCTCCCAGCTGGTGTGATGCCCTCAGGCAGGGACAGTCTACACCAGTGCTGTACTAGACCTGTGTAGTTGGTTCCTCGAAGTCCTTGTGTGGGCTCCTCTTTTTTCATCCTCACTGCCACATCTCTATCCTGTCATGCCACTTCTTGCCATGCCAAGTGGGGAGGGGTATGCTGTTGTGCTGCAGAGAGAGCCCAAGGCTGCTCAGTCTGCCTTCAGTCTCCTTTTTGGCAGTTTGAGAACTGACCTCTCAAGGCTGTTTTTCTCTCAAACCGCTGGTCACAGGGTAGGACGGGTTGTGCACTGCCTCTGCTGTGGTCCCTAATCTGTTGTCATTATGGGTTCCAGTTAGCCACAAGGGTACACAACCAAAAAGAAAAACAAGAGAAACTGGTGACTTGTTGGAGCACAAGCAGTTTCCTGGTTATTCACCCCTATGTATGCCAGTGAAATTTGCTGTCAACCTGTAGCATCGTCTCTATAGTAAAAGGCAAAAGAGGCGAGGGGTCATCTATCTCAAATATATCTTGTGTGGCTTGAGTTAGCTACACTTACACAGTTCATCAGTTTCTTGGAGACTTCCCCATATGGCAGTGCTTTTTCGGCCTGCAGGCAGCAGTGCCACTGGCAGCCCTGTAGACTGGCTCACTGATTTATAAAGTCTTATCTCTGTTTGCTTTGATCTGCCGAGTCTCTTATTTCAGACTGATTTTCACATCAGGATATATGTCCTCCCTTTCTTCCAACTACCTGTGTTTTTAGTTAAGTTTCTCTGCGTAGCTCCAGTGGCTACTTCTCTGTTCAGCTATGTTGAATTCCTTGGAAGTTTGTTCAGTATTTTTTGAAATAATTTCAGATTTATAGAAAAGATAATACAGAAAATTCCAGTGTATTCTTCATTTAGTTTTCCCTAACATCCTATTTAACCAAGATACTTTTGTCAAAATTAAGTGTTAGTATTAACTAAACTCTAACTTCAGTGGTTATCTTTGTTACTTTTCTCATAGCTGATGAGATAAAATACCCAATACCCACAGTTAAAGGAGGAATGATTTCTTGTAGCTCAAGTTCTTAGAGGTTTCATTTCATAGTTGGCTGGCGCCACGGCAGGGTGGCATCAGGGGGATGTTGTAGAGGAGAAACATTTCATGGTGGGCAGAAGGCACCAAGGCTGTGAAGCAGTAAGCAAATGGCAGTAGCAGCAGCCTGCTTCTCCTTTTTATTCTTCTAGGCTACTCACCCTTTGGGTGATACCACCCATACTCAGGGTAGGCCTTCCCATTTTCCACATGTAGAATTATGCCAAATTAATCAGTGGACTAATTTTTTTTTTCCAGTGGACTAATTTAGTAATCACATACCCTTAATCCCAGCAGTGAATACTGCAATCACGCACTAAATCCTATCATCACACACCCTAGATCTAGTCACCTCTATAAACCCCTGCCTTTGAGGCTTTAAAGAAACATCTAGACACAAGCCATGCCATTGAGATTATAAGAATTTTTCCACTAATAAGATAGGATGCCACATTGTGTATAATGAGAAAGAGGGGAAAAAACACAATATGAAAGCAAATGATTGTGTGGTCTGGGGGCTTCATGGTTGATTGCTGAGTTGCAGAAGACCTCAGGGGCCCAGGTTCTATGTTAGTGGGGACTGTACTTACGGACCTGGGACTATATTCTGCTTTTCTGGATACCCAGGATGGGTTCCTTTTACTATTTCATGTTTTTCCTACCTTAAGATTTTCCTTTTCTCTTCCTTTACATGTTTTCAGATTGGACTTTTTTTGTTAATAGTAGCAGTTTACTATTATTTGTATCTCACAATATAATCTGTGAACATACTTAGTTACATCCATAGGCAAGTTTATTACTGGTGATATTTTATCTGAAGTTGGAAGCATGGGCAAACATAGTTGGTGCTGTAGGGGACCTCAGTGAGATGGCTTTGATAAAGTGCTTTGAAATGGGCAATTTATTATTGGCTTGGTTTTAGGTGTATACTCTTTATCATAACTTAAATATGTATAAATATTTTGGATAGAAGATGATCCTTCTCATACTTTTTTTTTTTTTTTTCCAGCATTGGATTAAATTGTGCTTTGGGAGCAACTGAAATGAGACCTTTCATTGAAACAATTGGAAAATGCACCACTGCCTATGTCCTTTGTTATCCCAATGCAGGTGTGTTGCAGGGGTTTGCCCGTGGAAAGAGGCATGTAAATGGGGTTACAGATGTTGATTAGAAGAGTTCGTTTTGTAGAGTTTGGTATGTACTTAATATTCAAAAGGAGTTTTCCAAAGAAGCAGTTTGAAGAGTATTTTGGTCTAGAACAGTATTTTTCTTTGTGCTGGAAGGAATAGTTTGACCTCAAGCTTCAGAATAGGACATACCTACAGAAATTGAGTTTAACTGTACAACTGACTAGAGCCTTATTTTTGGTAACGGTGGATATGGTCAGAGAGATGACCAAAGAGGAGAGTGATATATGTTACAGCCCATTAGCAGACAAGTGACAGAAGAATTTTCTGTGCAAATGTTTTCCTCTCTACAAGCTATGACTTCTAATTTACTGTGTATAAAAATTTTCAGGTAATTCTCAAATATCTAGTTAAATATTGGTAATCTGTTTTAGATTAAGCAGATTTTTTTTTTTCCTTTTGAGAAAGGATCTTACTAAGTAGTTTGGGTTATCCTTGAACTCACTGTGTAGCCAGGCAAATCTTGAACTTGTGGTGATACTCCTACCTCAGTCACCTGAGTGCTGGGATTATAGCTGTGCACCACCACCAGCTATTTTCTAGCCCTCTTTCTCTAAATGTATGCATTTAAAAATGCACAATAAATTGTATTTCTCATCAGGAGTAATATAACTGGTAGCTGTTTTTTTTTTTTTTTTTCAGAACCAGGGATTGAACTCAGACCCTTGCGCTTACTAGGGAAGCACTTATTCCACTGAGCTATCTCCCTGGCCCCTAGGAGTAATATAACTGGAAGGAGATAGTAAATAAAAGAGGAAACTAGATAGAGGATAAAAAGTTGTGGGAAACTTTATTTGGAAGGAGATTGCTTGTTTTTGTTTTTAATTGCATGTCGAGTGCTCTTTATTGTGAAGACTAGGAAGTGGTCTCCTGCCTCATCCACAAGCAGCTTGGTAACAAGAAGGTCTCCATGGAGGTGGAGTGGAACTACGTCATGTTAGTTGTGCATCAGATAGAAAAGACATAATGAATGTGTATTGTCTTCTGTGATATTTTTTGAGGGACATGTGTCTATCATCTCAATATTAGTAATACTTGATTTTACAAATAATCACCAATACTGATTTTTAAAACCTTTAACCCAAGGCCTTTGAAATTGTGAAATGCATGTGTACATTTACATGTTTAAGGTGGTAGAGAGTGATGATGAAACATCTTTCCCCAGGTCTTCCCAACACTTTTGGTGACTACGATGAAACACCTTCCCTGATGGCTATGCACCTGAAGGTCAGGGGGCCTCTTACTTGGTTTTCGTTTTCTTTTTTTTTCCATAATTTTATTGAGAAACAAATAGCAATGAGACAGTTTCAAACAAAATTGGTAGGACAGTTTCAATAATTAACACATTGCATACATTCTTCCTAGTGTTAAATTGCTGTACAAGATGCAGACATTGCAGACATGATATCCTATTTACAAACACTATTAGAACAAATCCCTCTATTCATTAAGAGAATATAACTATATATCTATCCTAACCATTTTGAATACACAGATACAAAATGGACATTCATCTGTATCCCCTTCTTTTGTTTAGTTCCGTTATTTGAATATTATAGGTGTGTTAACTCAGCAAAATATTCTAAAAGGTTTTCTAAGAGAGAATTTTCCAAGCAGAATTTTCCCCCATTGAAATCCTAACCTATAAATAACAAAAGTTTGGCTTCTCTGAATTTAAGTTGTGGAGGGATAGAGAAGGGCTAGCTGTTAGCTGTCAGCATCATTATTGCTCATTGCACTGGTAGTGTTGAAATATTTCCACTGAAGTCAAAATGGCTCTCTGAGATACTGCTTATTGTGCAGCCCTCCCCAGTAATAACCCTCATCTCTTTCTTCTCTGCACCTCATGATCTGCTGGGTAGAACAGATCTCCTCCAGGCCCGCATTGTCACTCCAGCATCCTCCTCTCTCCATATGCACTTGCCCTTTTTGAATCATGAGACTCTGCTTCCCACTATTTTTTAGTGTTCCCATCTCAGCCGCTGGGGCTCTTTCTCCTCATCCTTCAAAATTTTTGCTCCTGGCTCACTGATTTTCTCCCCTAAACTATTTCTAACTTAATCCTTATGAGTCCCATATCTTATAGAGACGATTTTTCCAGAGTTCTTGACTCAGGTCCTTGACTTCCTGTCTCAGTTGCTGGGTTCCTCACTTACTGGCCTCTACTTAAACTCCAGACCCTTGCTGTCCTGTGTGGAGCCACCACTACATGTGCTCATTGGAACTCCTTACGTGTGCCTAGTGTGACAGAGGGACTGATTTCATTTCATTTAAAGAAGGTTAAAATTGAATTTAAAAACTGATAATTATTTCATGTGTCATTTGAAAATACATCATCTAGCTCATACTCATCTCAGTATGGGTAAAAAAACTTTAATATCTTCACACAGGCAGATGAATCTCTTGCTCCATTTTAAGTGGCATAAAATATTTCATAATATCTATTTTCTCCTTATATCTAGAGCTTGTGAAATTTTTATAACTAGAGTTGAATATGTTTTATGTTTCTTTTTTCCTACCTATCTGTCTATCTGACAACATCTCATTACATAGTCCAGACTGGCCTCAGACTTGTGATAATCTTGTCTCAGTCTCCTTGATGCTGGAACTACAGGCATATACTTCCACATCTGGCTTGTTTGACTTTTTTGTTAGTATAATCTTAGTTATTTCAGAAATATGGAAAGTAAAATATTTTATGCTCAATTAGTTTTTATGAGTTTAAAATTCAGATGAACTTGTTGATGCTTTTCCTAATGCAGGGCTTTGCTATGGATGGCTTGGTCAATATAGTTGGCGGATGCTGTGGTACAACACCAGATCATATCAGGTAATACTCTCCTCTCAATGTTTTACCATTTGTTGTTTTGAATTATATTTGCCCAAAATTTGTTTTTTGAAGTTCGAACCCCAAGTAGCTCAGATTATGAATGCATTTGGAGATAACTTTAAAGAGGCAGTTAAAGTAAAAATCAGTAAATCCATCATAATCCAGTATGACTGCTATCCTTATAAGAGGAGGCCACAGATGCACATACTGAAGGAAGAGCATGAAAAGACCTGAGAAGACAGCTGCCTTCAAGCCTTGGGGAGAAGCATTGGAAGAAACTAACCTTAGCAAAGCATGCATCCCAGATTTCTGTCCTCCAAATTGTGAGAAAATAAATTTCTGTTGTTTAAGCTACTGGTTCTGTGGTACATTGCTATTGCAGTACAGCAAAGTAGTGTACCTTTATATTATGAAAAACTCTAAAAATTGAAGTTGAGAAATAGTAAAACAAGTATCCATGTGCTTATCACATAGTTGCCATAATTTTCTACCTTTTGCTGTTATTTTATCTGCCTTCCCAATTTTCCCTTGAAATATTACGAAGCAAATCCCAAACATCATAATATTCTACCCTTAAATAACATTTGAATGTTCAAAGAGAGCCGGCTCACATTTCTTGTGGGCTGTTCCTACCACTATTAGAATTATTTCATGGAAGGAAAAAGTGGTAAGATGAGTCAGGAAGCATCTTTCTTTGGCCTGGTATACAGCGATTGCTCAGATTGTACTTTCAAGTGAATGTGTGAAGGCAGAAAGTGAAATGAAAGCAAGGCCATGGGTATTTAATTCCTTACAGTTTTTTGGCTTATGAAAGATTGGAATTCTATGAAACACAACATAGCTTAGGACTTTTTATGTTTGTCTTTTTCATAAGGTGATGATCACATTTTGAACTAGTCATCTCAGTGTTCCACTTTTATGCATATGATATATTTGCTTTACTGAGTTGCTTTTAATAGTTCTCTGCCTTTGTTAACCTCTGTAACAGACTATGTGCATGTTCATAACTAGGGACTGCACTCAGGACTTCATGCATGCCAGGCACGTGTCCTAACACTGAGTTACCATCTCCAGCCCACATTTTTTTTTTGAATTTAGTTTTTATTTTTATTTTATTTTGAAGAGTAAGAGCAAGAACAAAAATCAGAAACAGTGTAAGATACAACAATACATAAGTTACAGATTTTCAAAACAAGAATAGCTGATTAACAGTGATTGATATATTATCTATTTTTATCATCAAATCTGTTGCTCAGATTAACAG